CATTGTCAATGACACGTCCCCGTTCCGTTCATATTTGAGTGGCATATACATTCAAAGCAGATCATGACCGAAATGCACCTGCATATGTACAACACATTGTACTAAATCTGAACAAAATCCATGCATGCATGACTGAGATCCGGTTCTGGAATTGTGAAAATACGTGATTTTAATGCATTTTCGGCCTTAAAATGGCCATCATTCAGCTATTGCTAAGCGGATCATGAAACAAATGCACATATCTATTTGTGACATGATGCACCATGTGTGTGTGAAGTTTGAACTTGATAAATCCAGACATGTCTTGGATACGGATCCAGAACTGAATTCTTTAAAAAATGGCCGCCAGTCGGCCATTTCAAACTTGATCCGAAAAAAAAATGACGTGCATCAAGGTCCTATTATGTTTAATGTATGTACCAAATTTGAACAAAATCCGTCCATGCATAACTGAGATCCAGGTTCGGAATGGTGAAAATGTGCGATTTCAATGCATTTTCGGCCTTAAAGCGGCCGCCATTAGCTATCGTTAATGTGATCATGAAACAAATGCACATACATATTTGTGACATGATGTACCTTGTGTGTGTGAAGTTTGAACTCGATCAATCCAGACATGTCTCAGATACGGTTCCAGAACTGAATTCTTTAAAACAAAATGGCCGCCAGTCGGCAATTTCAAACCCGATCCACAAAAAAAATGACGTGCATCAAGGTCCTATTATGTTTAATGTATGTACCAAATTTGAACAAAATCCGTCCATGCATAACTGAGATCCGGGTCCGGAATGGTGAAAATGTGCGATTTTGATGCATTTTCGGCCTTAAAATGGCCGCTATTCGGCTATCGTTAATCGGATCATGAAAAAAATGCATGTGCATATGTCCCATATAATGTGTGATGTATGAGTGAAGTTTGAACCTAATCGGTCCATGCATGTTCGAGATACAGGTGATCACGGACGCACGTTTGCACACAGGGCAAAACACAAGTCCCTGTTTTCGGACTACGTCCGAACGGGGACTAAAAAGGTATGCAAAGGTGTGATATGCGATATAGATCTTGGTATGCAAAGGTGTAATATGCGATATAGATCTTGGTATGCAAAGGTGTAATATACGATATAGATCTTGGTATGCAAAGGTGTGATATGCGATATAGATCATGGTATGCAAAGGTGTGATATGCGATATAGATCTTGGTATGCAAAGGTGTGATATGCGATATAGATCTTGATATGCAAAGGTGTGATATGCGAGATGAGATGACCTATATTTCTAGAAACTAAAATGCAAATTACAGAAAGAAGATAGTTTTTTGAAAGCTTACTCGCATGTACCATCAAAAATTTTAGTTCAGTTTTTTAATGAGACAACAAAATCATGCTCATTTCTGTTTGTGTAATTCAACTTTTCCAAGCGTCTACTGCATTCTGTGATGCTATTGGTTAGAAATTCATTTGATTGATACATGTATGCATGAAATGGAATTGCTTTCAAGTGGTTGCAAAGTGTGAATGTTTGTTAATTGTAAGATTTATTCATCACATATCAACGTACATGTTTATAATTGCATACTTTTATCTTCATTTGTGATACACACAATTTCACCTACACAGGTTTCTAAACAGTACAGTAAACCATGGGTTTAGGGTCTATGGATAAACCATTAAATATCATGGAAATATTTTTAGGATGTATTCAATAAATCAGAGAATTATATTGAGATTTTAAAATGTTTTAGAAAACTGAAGCAGACATCTGAATGTGTACATAAAATATACTTTCAAATGAACACATCTTTTATAATTCAGTGTTCCATTTTCAAAGACGGGCAGGAACAGGAAGTCGGTAGGAGACAAAAACCACACATGACAGTATGATAAGCAGCCAGCTAAGGGGTAAATTGTACCACACATGACAGTATGATAAGCAGCCAGCTAAGGGGTTAATTGTACCACACATGACAGTATGATAAGCAGCCAGCTAAGGGGTAAATTGTACCACACATGACAGTATGATAAGCAGCCAGCTAAGGGGTACATTGTACCACACATGACAGTATGATAAGCAGCCAGCTAAGGGGTAAATTGTACCACACATGACAGTATGATAAGCAGCCAGC